AGAAAACAGAAATGCTTAAACTGATCAACCATCAAGATGATACATGATTGTGGCAATACACTTACTGGCCACTTTATTAGGTACACCTGCTCCAACTGCTTGTTAACGCAAATTTCTAATCAGCCAATCACATGGCAGCAACTCAAGGTATTTAGACATGTAGACATGGTCAAGACGATCTGCTGCAGTTCAATCCAAGCATCAGAATGGGAAAGAAAGGTGATTTAAGTAACTTTGGACGTGGCATGGTTGTTGGCGCCAGACAGGCTTGTCTGAGTGTTTCTGAAACTGCTCCCATCCTTAGAATAAAAGCCTATAAAGCAATGGTAAACAAGGGCGACACAGTGGCGCAGTATTAGTGCTGTTGCCTCACAGCAAGAAGGTCGCTGGGTCGAGCCACACCTTCTGTATGGAGTTTGCATGTTCTCCCTGCATTTGCGTGGGTTTCCTCCGGGTGCTCCTGTTTCCCCCACAGTCCACTGCTACTCGTGTGATATTGTGTTTATACAACAGTTTGACGGCATAATCGTGTGTATAAAAAGAAAATCAAACACCGAGTCTAAAAACCCTGTATGAGGAACTACTTTCTTCCGCCGTTCATTCCCATCTGCAGCTGATGTCAGAACAGTAGAAGCCGTTGCTCATTCCCCAACATCACTGTAGAGCTATAGTGTTTGAATGATTCTCTAGCGTAATGTCTGAAGTGATGACAAATCAGCTGACGCTGCCCGCATTTTAGGATTATAAGGCTGAACAGCAGGAAATGCCATCAGTCTACAGAGATTTCCCAGTGTTTCTCTGCTGCAATCAAGAGATCACAATCATTAACCCTGAAAAAGCCAAAGCAAAGCAAACACTAGCAGATTACTGTGGTATAAATACAGCACTACAGCATACACAAGACAGAGATCGACTGAGAATGTCACTTACCTGTTTAATAATGATTTGATCAGCTGTAGTTTGAAATTACACAGTTTTTCCTCCTCTAAAGGCTTATTTTGCGATCTTGTCGCCATCTTGTGGATGGTGCTGTATCTCTGAAATGTTAAATAATTAAAATAGGCACTATCCTTATAAATAAACTGCAGAGCTGCATTTTAAACAACTACAATCTCACCTAAAAAAGCCTCAAGAGTACATGATGTTGTCCAAGAGCTGCAATATTAGTCAACTGTAGTGAGTTTATTGATCTGCTGTCACTCTGTGTGGGCGGAGGAATACACGAGGGTGAAGAGGCTGTACGAGTGCTGATATTCCAGAATGAAGAAAAGGTTCAGTTCTGTCCCTGCTGAAAAATCCAGCTTAAACCAGCCTAGGCTGGTTGGCTGGTCGACCAGGCTGGTTTTAGAGGGGTTTAAAGCTGCAGATCCCCTGATGAATTATTAAATGCACAGCTAAAATGCTTCTCTTTCTCAGAGTTTCTGTCTTGTTTCTTGAGCAAATATCTGCAAACTCTTAAATCAAGGAGCATTTCTAGACCAGCAGATATCAGCTCAGTCAGAATGAGGAGAGGTTTCCCTCAAACATGTGAGCAGATCTTCCTCCGTTGGCAGATTACTCCGCTTGTTTTATGGGAAAACTCTCTTCTTTTTGACTCGGAAACAAGACCATTTCTTCTGCTTGTCTAGAAATGCTTCTCTATTTAGGAGTTTGTAGATTTTTAACTAGTACGACAGAAATATGCATATTAAAATCTCTTTATGCATATTCAAATGAGGCACAAACGAGTGTCTCTTTAAGCTCAATCACGCTAATAATGCAGAGCAGCGAAACGCTTTCACTAAACCAAAGACTAAAGCTGGAGTTGTCGCATGATGTGGAAGAAAAGCAGTTTTGTGTCATATATGAACATAATCATGCGGAAAATAACTGCAACTATTAATCAAACACTAAGTTATTAGAAAGTGAAATGGTGCCTGTTCTGTGCACATTTTATGCTAAATGCTAATTGTACTGTCATTTTAACGGTTCATTTTTAAAAGTGCAGATACGGGGAAAGTAAGCAATAGCTGATTTAGTTTGCCGTTCAGATCAAGGTTATAATAGTTTTGGATTTTTCATTAGTTTTAGTTTCTGCTTGGTTTTGACTTTTTATTTTCAAAGTACTGATGGGTCGTTCATGAACCATTCTTTCATTTTGAACGAATCTTCAGTATGACTCGGGAACTACGAGTCCTCTCAGGAAGTGATTCGTTCATCCGCGCGTGCGCACATTTGTGCAGGTAGTATAGTTCATTTCAAGTCTTCATCACATTGGCAGAAGCCAATCATACGCGTTTAGAGCCGGAAAAAGAATTGATCTGTTCATCTCTCGAGTCCTCGGGTTTGAGTCACTCTGTCACGTGATGAACGAATGATCATGGCTCCTATCTGCTCAGACTGTGCATTGATTAAGATTATATGTGTCTGTCAGTGTAACGTGAATGAACCCCTGACATTTGAAGACATGAAGAGCTGAGCTGAGCAAACAGACGACAATACCTTCATAGACAAAAGAGCAGGTCAACATTGAGTTATTATTTCTCCTTCTTATAGTATTCTAGTTATGACTTATTTGTCGTGTGATCAACCTTTTGGGCTAGTTGTAGATGTGTTTGGAAGGTATTCGTTACATTTTAATAATATTTTGGCAAATTGAACCAAATGGACGAAATGACTCGAAAAAAGATTCGTTCATCTTAATGAACAAGACTCAAAGATCCGAGTCAGTAAAATGATCCGAACTTCCTAACAGTATTTTCGAATTCAGTTAGTTTTAATTAGTTTCAGAGGCAGATTTACTAGTTTTTATTAGTTTCTTTATTTTAAAAATGTCTGTTTTAGTTTATTTTTTATTAGTTTTAGTTTCAGTTTTTTTTCTAAATAAGGATATTTGTTAGGTACAATATACAAAATCATCAGAATAAATATTGTATAATAAAAACTCAGTCTTACATTTTTTTAAATCTGTATTTAGAGGACACATGACCACTATCATCTGCCCATCCTCAAATTCAAATACAGCAGCCCACAAGACAGCAGCCTTAAGTAGTGTATGTGTGCAAGGCTGCTCTGATTAGATAGACAGTAGTGATGGGAAGTTCAGGTCTTTAACGTGGATGTTTGGACTTTATTTTAAAATTATTTAGTCAACAATAGTAATTTCAGTTAGTTAAACATCCCCATGATCTGAAAAATGTCTTACAGTAAACTTTTACAGCCCAACTGAATCCTGCTTCACTTATTTAAACTCCATTACGATTCTGTTATGAAATAAACTTGCGTTTTCCTCCAGATCCTCTCATTAAGCCCTCGGTTTACCTGCGCTGCAGTTTCTAAGTTTAGTTCAGTCACAGCAGACTGTCATGTGCTGTTTGTTCTACCCACTGTGCCACCGTGACGGCCTAATGTCTGTAATGCTGAATTTATTAATGTACAATGATCAGAATCAATCTAAAGACATGTTTAAATAACACATCTTATAAAGACATTTTCAGCAGATGGTTTAGACACCGCTTTTCTTGCTGTAACTAGTTTCAAAAATAGCAGTGGAAGTGTTGATGAACTGAGTCACAGCATGTGTGCGAACTATTCTAATTGTTAATGTAGCTTACCACACCCACTGGAAAATACTATACTATAGTAAGGCTCAAGAGCACTCCATTACTAAAGTACTTGAATTATTTCTAGTCACTATGGTAACACAGTCACTACAGTGATTAATCTCCTTTTATTCACTTCAGGTATTGATCTTCTGTGGTGATTCTACAGTTGCTATGGTAACACATTCACTACAGTGATTGATCTTCTGTGGTGATTCTACAGTTGCTATGGTAACACAACAACTACAGTAATTGATCTGTTGTGGTGATTCTACAGTTGCTATGGTAACACATTCACTACAGTGATTGATCTGCTGTGGTGATTGTTTTACACTACAGGGGTAAGTTTTTGTTGTTGTTGTTGTTGTATTTTTGTTTCTATATTTTTATCCTGAGTTAAAGATGTGGTGAATCTTCAGAAGTCTTTTCCCCTGCGATATAAAGCTGAAATGCGATGCTCAACATGTGGTTTTAAATAATAATAGTAGCAATCATTCCAATAAGCATCATCTCTGCTCATCAGAGATCTGGGAAATGAAGTAGTGATATCAGAAGCGGAAGATGAAATATGATGTTAAACAGGAGACGAGGAGACAGAAATTAGTGTGAGGAGACAGAACAAAACTTCATTAGAGGAGAAGATTGAAGATCCAAACGTCTGCAGATGTGTTACACAACACACACACACACACACAGGCTCTTCTCTTTCTGTTTCCATGGCAACAGGATTCTTTATGGTGTGTGTGTGTGTGTGTGTGTGTGTGTGTGTGTGTGTGTGTGTGTGAGAGAGAGAGAGAGAAAGTAAACAAACACTATTATATTCAAACTCCTCCTAATGCAGATGTCAGCTCTGGCTGTGATGAGCTTCAGACTCTGCAGATGGTCCATTTGCACAAATATATGCAAGCAAATAAACCTGTTGTTGTTCTCCTACTAACTCAGACATGCTCTAATATGCTGTTGGGGGTTTTATTTTGGGTTGTTGGTTTGGTAAGACATTGAGATTTTTTCTTGTTTTTAGCAGTAATTTTATTGTTTTTAGCAGTAATTTTATACAACCTTAAAAATAAAAAAACATTTATAAAAGACAACTTAAAAATACACTTGAAACACTATTTGATAAATATATGCGTATATTTATTACATGTGCTACAGTTTGGATTCCAGATGATTAGAAAATAAACCTCATCAGTGACTGTCTTGAGTGTTCTTCTGCACTGTAAATACTATAAATAGATATTTGTTACACTACTATTATTTACAATTTGATATAGATTATATGTAGCACTTTAATGTTTTAGGTTTGTTTGAATGAAAAGCTGCTATTTACAATTAAATGTTTTTTTCTGTTATCAGAAAATTTCTAAATAAAAACATTGAAATGTGAAAATACGTCTAAATATTATTTTGAAGTGTTTCTTAGACTAAATAAACTAACATAAAGTAATATGTTTTGGAAATAGTTCAAAAGTGTAGTTTCTGTAATCTATTACTTAAGATAAGGCTTTTGTTTTAATTTTTATTCACAAAAAGTCCAGGCGTTTTTTTATATAAAATGTCAATTGGAGACTCCAAATGGACACCAAATGAGAAAGTGCCACAAATGTTCATCTGAAATACTTTTATCTTGTGTGGTTTTGTAGGCAGAACAGTGTTGAATAGATATGCATTTATGCATTATGTAATTTTGACTCATTTGGTTACCAGGTGTCCAGTTGGAGTTTCCAAGTGGCTTTTTAGAAAGGACGCCTGTCCTTTTTTTTTTTTTCATAAAAGCTTACAGAAGCTACATTTTTGGGAGTATCATCATGAAATTTGAATCAAAACATAGTCAGACATTCAGCTCTATATTTCTGGTGTTTCCATGCCATTATCATGATAGTCACATTAATTTTTCCTCTAATAAATTTCATTGACACTAATCGCAATTCACTTTCACCTATATTTTAACATGTTTTACTCTGTTTCTTTACTACTTTGGCTAGTTTGGCATCCAAGGGTAACAATAACTCAATGTCTAGTTTCAAACAAAACCAGACTTGTGAACATAGACCACAGGGTTCAAGAGCTACAGACATTTATATTTGGGTAAGTCGTTTTCTGGAAAATGCTCAAAATGAGGTGCAGGTTATAGGGTTAAAATCTACTTCATAATTTTGTAATTGAAGTAATTATACATGTTAATAAATGTTACTTTAATAAATATTAATTAGGGGCTTATATGCTGCTTAAATTGCTACATCATCACTAAAAGAATTAAAAGTAAAATAAAAATGTACAAAAAGTATAAATTGTAAATGTGACGATATAATAATATTTAAACATGTAAACTGTCTATTTAAAAAAGCTCTCCAGTCAGATTGAGAATCGTTTCATTCAGCGAATCACAGAGGGCCAATATAAGGTTAAGCCCCACCTCTGAAGCTGAAGCAGCCAATCAGCAAAGAGCTGAATATTAATGAGGGTGACCCAGCGCTCAGTCAGAATCATCAGCACATCTGTAGGACTCTAAAACTAATATTGTTATTAATCAGGCGGATTCAAAGCAAAGTTCATTTAAAATATTAATAAATGCAAATGTTTGGGGTACAGGATCTGCTGTACAGTGGCACTGGAGGATCTGTTCCTGGAGTGTGTGTGAGAGAGAAAGAGAGAGAGTAAATGTACCTGCGGTGTCCATGGAAACAGCTGTTTACAGATTCATATTTATAAGCTGAATGAGCGGAGCCTCAGATCAGATGCGCACGCGCACACACACACACACACACACACACACACACACACACACACACACACACACACACACACTCATCCAGCACCAGTGTGCAGCATCCACCTGGATGAGGCGACGTCATTTTGCGCCAGACCACAGCAGCTGATTGGTGGAGAGGAGACAGAGTGATGAAGCCAATAACAATATGGGGATGTTAGGAGGCCATGATGGACAGAGGCCAGTGGGCAGATTTGGTCAGGATGCCGGGGTGAAACCCCTATTCTTTTACCAAGGACATCCTGGGATTATTAATGAGCACAGAGAGTCAGGAGCTCACTTTAACAGCTCATCTGAAAGACGGCGCTCACTGAGCAGTATAGAGTCCCCTTCACTATACTGGGGCATTAGGACTCACACAGACCACAGGTTGAGCGCCCCCTGCTGGCCTCACTAACCTAGATTCCCCATGTGCTCTCCCATCCAGACACTGACCAGCCTCAGCCCTGCTCAGCTTCAGTGTTGCGACGATGTGACAGTTGCAGTGAGCTGCTGCCATCCTGAAGTAAACCCCGCCCCCTACTCAATATTCATTTGGAAGTCATACTGAGATAAAAGTTTGGCAACTTCCTGTTTGTGTTGACGCTTGTGTTCCCCCCCCCCCCCCCCAAAACAAATAGAATGAAGCTGTGGTAAACAGTGAGTAAAGTGCACACGCTGTTAGAGTTGTGTTAAACTTTATTTGGTCTCGCTCCATTTTGCAGTATATCTTGACTCATTTTTAAAGTTCCACAGGTTAAAACCCTTTACAATTAGCAAAATAAACATTCAGACGCACTTTAAACACACACACACAGTCTATCTCTTTCTGTCTCACACACACACACAGTGATGAAGTGATTAGGCCCAGCCCAAGAGAGATCACAACATCACACACACAGCAATTAAAAGGGCTTTACACACACACACACACACACACACACACACACACACACACTTACACAGAGTATATATATATATATATATATCCAAATAAGCTTAACATAAAGCAGGAATGGTCATCAGAACTCCATCCCCCAGAGTTCCCGGCGGCAGAGGAAGAGGAGGAGCAAACGCCATGTGCATCTCCAAGTGTTTTGGTTCAAAGAAATCAAACAAAAAACAAACAAAACAACGACAATAAAAGGGGAACACAAACACAACCAGAGTTCTGCTGTTGATCAGTCAACGCTCTCGCTTGAGTCCTGACACCAGCCTGAAGCTTTGACAGTATTTGAAGGCACACAGAGATTTGTCCCTTTGCAGCACCCATACCTCCAGTGAAGAACACTAACATAATCTAATGGAGCGTCCTGAAGTGGACTGTGTCTCTGAATCCAGTGTGTGAAGGCCTCAGTAATAAATATGAAGAGCTACATCATCATCATCATCATACAGTAGGACGCAGGAGGTTGTGTGTTTATGACATGATAAACACTCTCCATCATCTGTGCTGACCACCGCTATCAGTGCTGTTTGACCGGCTCGTCATGAAGCGCTACAGACACACATTTTCACCATACTACTAGCTTATGGTGAATTCTGACTGAACACTTTCTTTCTTTTTATTTTAAGTGTACATCGTCGCAGATTGGGAACAGATTTGTGAGAATAAAAAAGTTGTTTATTGCGATTATTATTGCGAAGTTTGAACTAAGAAATGTGAAATTTAAAGTCAGAATTGTTTGATTATTAGAATTGCGATGCTGACAGAGTCGTGAGTCACGATTGTGTCGATTCAAAAAAATAAAATAGTCATTCCAATAGCAAATTTAGAGAAATAATAGCAAAATTCCCACAAAACAAAACATGAATTGCAGAACTGAGATGAAATTCGCAATTCAGAAGTAAAAATCAAGACAGTGAGATTGTCGGATTTGTGTTATTAAAGTTTGCAGGTGTATTGTGCATTTATTGCGCGGTAAAACTATGAAATTAAAATATGATCAGAATCGCAGCAATCTCACAACGCTGACTGAATCGTGAGTTCATCTCCTGTCAATTGTGAAATAGTAAAAATATTAACGTTCACAAAATTTCCAGTCTAAAATTACTTTTAAAAGTTTTGCAAAAACTTGCATTTCAGCGAAAAAGAGCAAAATTAGTCTGATTTCTGTTTATAAACATTTGCAAGTGTATTGCGATTTTTATTGCGAAGTTAATTGCAAGGTATAAACTAACAAATGTGAAACAAAATGTCTAAATTGTAGGATTATGAGTCGCAACAGTCTCACAATGCTGACTGAATCGTAAAATAACATTTAGTCAATTGTGAAATTTTCACTATCAAAACGTTAAAATAGTAACGCAACTATCGCACAGTTATGAGGTCAGACTGAACTGCACGTTAGAAAAAAAAATTCAGAAAAAGAAAAGTTAATATTGTCAAATTTTTGTATTTACACTTGCAAAACCATTGCGATTATTAATGCAAAGTTAATTCCGAGGTATAAACCAAGGAAATTATAACTCAAAATTGTACAATTATGAGAACTGCGACTCTCACAATGCTGACTGAATTATGAAAAACTATTGCATAATTAATAAACACAAACTTGCAGATTGTCAGATTTGTGTATATTAAATCAGCAGGTATATTATGATCATTATTGCGATGTTTATTCCGAGGTATGAAAGAAATGTGAAATTAAAATGTTAGAATCGCTGAATGGTGAGTTCATTTCTTGTCAAATGTAAAATAGTAAAAATGTTCACAGAATTTCGAACTTCTAAAATCTGGTTGAAGTGTATTACGATTTTCATTGTGAAGTTAATTGCAAGTTATGAACTAAGAAATGTGAAATAAAATATCTACATTTTAGGAATGCTGACTGAATCATGGGCTAACATTTTGTCAATTGTTAAATTTTCCCCGTAACGCAACTATCGCACAGTTATGACGATTCAGACTGAACTGCAGGTTCAAATCTTTTTTTAAAGTATACATTGTTGCGAAATATAAAAAAAAGTCAACATTGTATATAAACATTTGCAACATTATTACAATTATTGAAAAGTTAATTCAGAGGTATAAACGGTGAAATTATAACTCAAAATTGTAAAACTATTAGAATCGCACCATCTCACAATGCTGACTGAATTAAAGTTTCTCATCTTCACTAAACTTTGAAAGACTAAAATTGTAAAAAAAAATTGCATAATAAATAAATACAGACCTTTTCATTTCAGGTTGTTGAATTTGTGTCTAGAAACATTTGCAAGTTTATCAGAGTTGCGAGGAATAAACAGCTGAAGCTCACGTCAGCACGCTGTCAGGTCGTCATGGTTACAGAAGCGCTTCTTCACTGTGAATTTGTTAAAGTAGTAACGACACCTATCGCATGTTGTTATGGATTCTGACTGAGCTGCAGATAAAATCAGCATTTTTACTAGTATTCATTGCTGTGAAATGTGTTAGTTACGAGAAACAAAGAAAATGTGTGCATAGAAACATTCGCAAGTTTATATTTGCCAGGAATAAACCAAAAAACTAAACTCTGACTTGCTCATACGGTTCATTACCTGATGATGCTACTTCTCACTGCTGAAAATAATCATTTACTGCTGTTTAAATTGAACTTTTTAATATATCCCATATGAGAATTAACATTTACCGCCAATTTTCAAGAAAATTGTGTGTGTGCGTGCGTCTAATAGAGGCCCTCAGTTCCTGGAGGGCCGCAGCTCTACACAGTTTAGTTCTAACCCTAAATAAACACAGCTGATAACACTAATTCAGTCCTTCAGGCTTGATCGGGACCTGCAGGTGAGTAAACTGTGCAGAGCTGCGGCCCTCCAGGAACGGAGTTTAACACCCCTGCTATAGGGGACGGTATGAAGCTGACTGAGCGTCCAGCAGGGGGAGACAGAGTACAACACACACACACACATACATACACACTCGCTCAGTGTTTGTGTTCTCACGATTCATTCACTAGTGACGCAGCAGAAAGACTGAAGCTCTTAAAGGGCCAGTTCACCCTAAAATGAACATTTTCCTCCATTATCATTCTGAGGAGCACTGAGGAAAGCAGACAATCACATCCAAAGCAGGACCACAGAACTGTTTAACCAGTGATCCTCAGAATATCTTTAACCTTCAGCGGAAGAAAGAAACTCACACAGGGCTGAATCAAAATGAGGACGTGAACTGTGCCTTTAAGACCTTTAGTTTTCAGAAATAATTGTCCAAAATTAAGCAAATTCATGCTTAAATCAACAAAACATCATCTACCTTTTACAGCACACATTATGCAAGACTATAGTTTTCTATTACTATTTACATTATTCATAAGCCATAAGCACTCATTCTGCTGCTTGACTGACCAATCTTTACACATTTGCAGACACTGTTAATCACATTTCCTGAGAGAAATGGACATATTTAATCTCAAACCCTATAAAAAACCCTTATATTAATCATAAATGTTCGTATTTTTGAGCGTTTTTATCATAAATAAAGTGTGTTACACCCATTAAGAGTTTTACTCCTAACAGTTCTAAAAACTTTAGCTTTAATACGATGTCCAGGTTATATTTATACATGTATAATCACTCTCCTCAGCATATCTGCTCCATAAACACATGGGGAACCTTTAAACAAGGGGTCACCAATCTCGGTCCTGGAGGGCCGGTGCCCTGCAGGGTTCAGCTCCAACTTGCCTGAACACACCTGCCTGGATGATTCAAGTATACCTAGTAAGAGCTTGATCAGCTTGTTCAGGTGTGTTTGATTCGGGTTGGAGCTCAAATCTGCAGGACACCGGCCCTCCAGGAACAAGTTTGGTGACCCCCGGTTTAACTAGTTAATAGTTTGCCAGTTTTACTGTGATTATAAGGCCAGACTGAGTATCTCTACACAGACAGCTGACTGACTGAAAATGATTGAAGATCTACAGCACAATATTTCAGTCATTATACAGCCTAACATTCAGTTTCTGAGATGTAAGACTTTATAAGAGCCCACAGATAAATAATAGGGTATTTTTGAGTTTTGCCAATGAAAATAACTCGCAGGTCTTTTTTTCCTTTTATTAATATTATTATTATTATTTAATTCTATATGTGTAATATATTGTGTAATAGTGAGTTCTGGCCATGTCATGGTTGTCCAACATAAATGTCCCTGAAGCAGGATGAAGTACAAACTCATGTGTGCATCTCAGAGCAACATTTCCTGAATGAATCAGTTTCTGAACGAATCAATTGAGTCAAATGATTCAATTAAACATCCCTCACGAATCATTGCTTCATTTCAAAATGAATCGGTAGAATGAATGAATCATTACGCAAAACTACTGCTTAAATATATTCCTACAATATCACACTCATTTTGTTTACACAAGTGCCGTTTAAAGATTCATCGGGACTACTGCGTACAAGATAAAGTTTGATTTACATGATATGTGTGTGTGTGTGTGTACTGTATATTATGCATGTATGAATGCACATATATAATGTTAAGAGATGTTGTTAAAAGTTTTGACTCACAGAAGCACTGATAATCAGGTGTGCGTATGTGCGTGTGTTGTATATAAGTATTATTGGCTCAATAGATGGAAGGTGTGTTTGTGTTCACAAACAGCAGTGGTCAGCACAGATCCATCAACGCGCACACACACACACACACACACACACACATCCTGCTCTTCTTTGGCACAGTATTGTGTTCTCGTGCACACACACACACCATAGACTCTGAGACCCCCTGATCAGCCAATCAGAGGGCAGGACAGGAGTCACATGACTGCACAAAACACACCGCGGTAAATAAACAAGTTTTATAACAAGTTGTTGGCTGTAGCAGGTTTTTGCTGTGTGTGTGTGTGTATTACCAGCGGTGGCGGAGAGGGTTTGGGTGTGTGTATTACCCGCGGTGTGTGTATCATCAGCGTTGTGTGTGTTTGATTCAGAAGCGGTCGTTTGGCAGTGGTGCTGCGGATCTGAATGCGCTCAGGCTGCGGGGTGGCTGCAGTCTCTCTCTGCTGTCCGGCGGGCGGGACACACTGACCCAGCTGAGCTCCAGCAGCGGGGGGGCAGGCGGCTGCAGTGGCGCCCCCCGCAGGCTCAGGCTGGGGCTGACGTTAGCGGAGCAGGGGGCCGAGCGCGAGGTGGGGAACGGCGGGCAGAAGGGGTCAAACCCTTGCTCCGCTGCTGCCGCTGGCTCCAGCTGCAGGGCAAAAGGGTCGCAGTCAGGGGAGGGGAACAGGGCGCCGCTGGAGAATGGGTTGGTGGGCGAGGGCCGTGTGCCCAGCAGAGGGCTGGCGGGGCCGCTGGAGCCTCGGGGTCGCTCTGCAGACATGCCCGCAGACACAAAGCTCCAGGGGTCAATGCGGGGCCGGTTGGGTGAGGGCCGCGGACGGGGGATGATGTTGACCTCTAGACGGCGGGTTTTGGGGCTCCAGAGGCGAGGGTCCGGGTACAGGGCGAACGGCAGTGGGCTCTTCTGATCCAGTGTGTCCTGACACAGAGGAAGATCCAGCACTGCAGAGAAACACACACACACACACACACACACACATTTATAAATGCATACAACAGAGGAGGTGTGATGGCTGCATGTGAGCAGCTGGTGGTTAATCTTCACTGATCTTCAGTTCAGCAGTAGAGCAGAGTGTGAAGGGTTCATCAGCAGAGGAACAGCACAGCTCTGCTTCATATATTGCAATACACACAACATTATGGGGACATAGAGTTCAGAAGAGGACAGAGTGTTGGTGCACATCTCGCTGGCACATCTGTGACCAAGACAGCAAGTGTGTGAGGATCAGGAGCCGTGGTGTCCAGAGTAATGTCAGCTAACCACCAAGAAGAAGAACCACAGCTGGGATCATCCATCATCATCCCATGTAGTTCAGTAAAGAACCTTGGGGTGATTCTGGATGATCAGTTGTCCTTCAAAGAGCACAATGCTAACACGGCTGATCAGGCAGATTTGCACTCTCCAACATCCAAAAATAAACTCTTGGTAGAGGATTCTGCTGCTCAACTTTTGGTCCAAGCTCTTGTTATTTCAAGGCTGGACTCCTGCAATGCTCCTCTAGCTGGACTCCCATCCTGCACTCTTAATTTCCTTTTACATTCCTTAAAAGCCTCTTTTAACACATTTCTAGTCTGTTTCTAATCATCTTTATTCTTTGCATTGTAATATTGTGCTATGTAAATAAATGCCTTAATCTTCTACAGATGATCCAGAATGCTAGAGTTCGGTCTGGTCTTCAAGACAAGCCCAAGAGAACCCACGCAACGCCTCTCTTTATCTCTCTGCATTGGTTAAGGGTTGAAGCTCAGATCAAGTTCAAATCACTGATGCCTGCTTACAGAAAAGCCATTAGGACTGCACCATCTTTCTTCCCCCGACTCCTGAAGGTCTACATCCCCTCCAGTAGCCTCACAAGCGCTACACCCTCTTACCTAATATTGGTCCTGATGGTCTACATCCCCTTCAGTAGCCTCACACACGCTACACCCTCTTACCTCCACTTGGTCCTGAAGGTCTACATCCCCTTCAGTAGCCTCACACACGCTACACCCTCTTACCTCCACTTGGTCCTGAAGGTCTACATCCCCTTCAGTAGCCTCACACACGCTACACCCTCTTACCTCCACTTGGTCCTAAAGGTCTACATCCCCTTCAGTAGCCTCACAAGCGCTACACCCTCTTACCTAATCTTGGTCCTGATGGTCTACATCCCCTTCAGTAGCCTCACAAGCGCTACACCCTCTTACCTAATCTTGGTCCTGAAGGTCTACATCCCCTTCAGTAACCTCACACACGTTACACCCTCTAACCTTCACCTGCTTCTAAAGGTCTACATCGACCTCCAGTAGCCTCACACACTCTACACCCTCCTTACCTCCACCTGCTCCTAAAGGTCTTCACCCCTTCAGGAGCCACCTTGTGGTACCATTGCAGAGAGGCTATAAGTCAACCTTCCAGAGCCTTTCCATGCACTGTTCCATGCAGGAGCAATGATCTTCCCATTCCCACTCGGACTGCAGACCTTGTGTCCTTCAAACCACAACTTTACGCAAGAACCTGAACCCCGAAGAATAAAACCAAGACCCCTCTTCTCTCTCCCAGCTTATCACACACCAACCCAAAGTACTCCAAGTGTGCCTCAAACAGGTGAGTGGGCTTAACAAACCACCTGTAGCATCACTCTCTCAAAAACTCTAGCACACTTACTGTAGCACTAAGTTACTTTGTCTGACTAGCACTTGTTGCGTGTATTGCCTCTTCTTGTTTAATTGCTGAATGCCTCCTCAATTGTGAGTGACTTTGGACAAAAGCGTCTGCTAAATGACTAAAGGGGGTCGCACACTGGCGGTGACACGCAAATGGCAGTTTGGAGTATCGCACACTAGATGCTCACATTCGAGTGTTAGTAATTTAAAACTGTTCAGATGGCGCTCTGTGGCACGGCAGAAATATGAACAGTGTCCTGAATCGCAGCTGGGTGCCGCAAACAGCCGGCAACTTGCGGCGCTGGAGTGCCTACCTTAATAGAAATCTATGTGTAGAATTTTAAAATGCACAGCAATGCGTAGTGCGACGTGGTGCGTTGCCGAACAGCGCATCTGATGTGTGACCCCCTTAAATGTAAATGTCAAGCCAAAAATAATTCATACCCCTGCCAAATTCTGACTTAAAGATGCTTTTATTCAACCAGCAAGTTTTTTTTAGCAGAAATGACACAGCTTTGCACTGAAGCCACTGCAAAACATTTGGAGATGGTTTTACAGCTCTTTCCTGACTTGAGCCACCACAATGTGCAGCCGCACATAATATAGGAGCCCTTGCAATCAGAATATCGCCAGGTGTATGAATAACTGTGGACTTGACTGTATACACACACACACACATATAAATATCTCACCCAGCTGTGAGGAGCGTGTG